GGTCAAATTTTTCCATGCGAATTGCGCGTCAGTTCGCACCCTCAGGAGGTCCGTGGGTCCCTCAACTAGGTCAGTTTCCCTTTCTTCGACCTTCATTCTAATCGTGAATTCCTCCTTTAAGTCCAAGAGGATGTAGAGGTCCTATTAAAGGCTGTGATCACGATGGCTGCAGGGCGGTGCGGTTTGGTGACGTCATTGAACGGCATTGGCAGAAGGGCCTTTTGGAGCGGTCTAATCCACACCCCAACGTACTCAGCAGGTCTAGTCAACCAATGACGTTCAATGACGTCACCAAAACCGCTACGCCCTCCAAAACCATCAGAAACACTGCCTTTAATTTCTGAATACTCCAAACGTTACAATAGGCGTTTTAAGGGAATTTAAGCTTATGAAATATGTTCCATGAGTTAACCAGGGTGCGGTTCACCTTTTTTTCATTTCCCACATTAACAACTACCACTTTACTTCATATCAAATCAAAAGTGGCAACTTCTCTGATATATACCGAAAAAGTATTGTGGATTTGCCCCTGTTGACAGCTTTTGACATCACTTTAAGCTGTCTTAAGCCCCTTGAGGGCCCTCATCAGCAGTCGTTGAATTGTAAGCCGCAACCCTACTCGAAAACCAAAGGGAATGAAACGAAGGTCAAGGTCAGTCCGGAAAGGATAAAAAAAGTCGACGTTCATCAATAATCGGTTGGTATGCGCCACGCATACCACTTCCACTAAGAATCTTACTGACATTTTGAATGTAAGTTGGCCTATGCAGAAAGTTGCGTTGGTCAACCGATGTACAAGTCCGCTTTAGCCTCCCAGGCCAACTTACTAAAAATTGATGACCCTGAAGGAAAGAAAGGCTCGGTTGGTTGAAGGCGTGGAGTCAAGGATTTGAGCTCCGGATCGTGAAAACGGAGAGCGACTCCTTTTGTCACCACACTGCTCCGCTCTCAGGCTGAAAAAATGTGTAGTAAACTGTTTTAGAAGCTTCGAATTGGGAAATGTAAAACTGGAAATCAGATGGATACACCGTATCGAATTAGATTTTTTTGTAGTGGAGTCAATAAGTGACGAGTCAATGTGAGGGTTCAAAATACAACATTATCTCCGAAAAATAAAAAGTTCTTCAAAAACATTTCTTTCTATCTCAATCGTCCTGCATTTGATAGCGGCTCACATTACGGTAGAGAGTTTTTAAGGGTTTATTTTTGCAACGCTCTCACTCTGGCTCTTCACACGCTACTCTTCTTCGTTCCGCTCCCAATTGCATGCCACAGAGTGCACTTGACGTGAAGAAATTGCAGCCAGTGGCTGTTGCGAAAAGGCGCTGAAAGCCTCAAGGGAAAATGGCGCTAGACTTGTCAGATACAGATGATCCTTGATGTGGACTGAGGGATTTGCTTTGACTGAGAAGATGCCGACCAAATGTCTCAATAGCTCTGCCATTCGCATCTTCTATTCCCATGGGATAACTTGGGGAGGTGATTTTGGAAGTAACCTTTTCAACACACCCTTCCTGACGTGCCACGCAAAACCACCTAGTCGCAACAGTCTTTCTCTGAGCATAAATTCAATCCCAGCAACTGTGGGTGCAGTCATAGAGAATTTGGCCGTTTGCCAATTTTGGCAATTTGTTTTTTTTTTTTCTAATGGGATGTTTGAAAGAGATGAATTTGTTGTTCTCTACAAAAGATAAAAGAAGTTTCGACATTATAAGAAAAAAGCTAACTCCTTAAGAAGCGCATAATCACCAGCTCACACAACTGGTCTTTATATCTAAATTATTCTTATGTATGTATACTATGCAGTAACCTTTTATATCGTAGTTTTTAATAGTTTCGTGAAGATAATAGGGCTACCGTCCTCATTGACTAACCACAATGTTTTCTATTGTTTGTTTCTTTATAGGCGCGTCAACTGCACGCATGAATAAATAAATAAATAATAATAAATAAATAAATAAAATTATAATCATTAATCACGACACAAGTGGTGTACTGGCAAGTGGCGCATTTGTCACGAAAGCGGTGCGGACATCAAATCGAAAATTGTCTAGGCCACCGAGGCTTCCATCCCTTTGTGGTCGGTAGTTGGCACTATTCGTCTGGGACGATAAAAGCACAGACTTGTACATCTGCTTACATTATTGCAGACAAAATCGCATTCAAACCACGGCCATCTGAATAGGAGTAAAATGCATGGCGCACCCCAAAAAGGGTTGATCGATTTCGAACACCACCATTTATCGCTCACTTGCCAACAAGTTTCTCAATAGGGACATCCCTTTTGCTCTTTTGCAATACAATGGCAATCGGCTAATTATTTCATTGGCGAGAAACATTTGCATTTTGTGGACTTATCGTCACTTGCGGTGTGTGGTCTGCACTCGACCCGCGTCTGGTTTTCGGAAGCAGAGGGTAGTTTGGTAGCCATTGATCCATTGAGCAGCAGTGTAATCCAATATTTGTTCACGTTTTCACGCCAGAGATAATCCAAAAATTCACATAAATTTCTGGATCCGAAAACGAATGCGTTCGTCAGCGAAAATGAAATCGTTAAAAAATTATGACCAATATGGAAAATATGAATATTGAAAATATGCCGAGACACATACGCAACGGCTTTTGTGAATCATCTCATGAAGCATACCTGTTTCAGATTCTGATGCGTGAACTACGGATCACTGAACGAGTGGCCGAAATGATTTGTTCACCACGACATGGCTGGTCACGATCATGTCGGGTCATGCTGCTACAGTGCTTGGCCAATATGGCGGTCTGCCCGGAAAACCACGTATGTCTTGACCCTCAGGAATAGACTTCAAAAATGTGCACCATTATCGCGCCTGCGATTTTCAGGAAATCGTGCGCTGTGCGATACCTCACGCAGTCCAACGTCTCTCGCTCAACGATGAAATGGAAGTGGTTGTCGCACTTCAAGCGCTAACAAATCTTTCGCTAAACATCACCACTGAACAGGTACGGTACGCAGACCTACAGTAATTTAGCTCAGCTTAATCATAACTATATGAAAAGCAGTCAAACGTCAGAGATTGAACGCTAATGCTTCTGATCGGCGAGAAAAGATCTAGCCTTTCTCAAGCCTTATTTTTCCGGAGAAATGGGTTGGCTGTCCAGACATGTCCATGTTGAAAACGCAAATGATGTACGTTCATTAAATAGGGACCTATTTAATAAGGGGGATGTGGCGTGATAGTTCGTGTCGCTTAGTAATTCCAATTCCTGTAAATGGAGGCTCCGTAAGCACTTCGCATTTATTAGGTTGTCCCGAAATTAATGCCGGTTTTTGACCTCCGTCTTCAAAGCAACATATCTCAGCTCAAACTCAACATTTTCAGTAATTCAAAAAAGTGTTGGAAACTACTCATTTTTCTTAACAGGAAGCGTACTGGTTTAATTAACGAACTTGAGATACAGGAACAATAGAAGCTCAAATATCGGCCAAGGTCTTTTCCATCATGTCTCGGTTTTCAAATCTTTTTCTCCCCAAGAAGCTGTCGAGATTGCCGGAAAACAGGAGGTTGGTGAGGGTGAGATCCTGCGAATGCACTGTAAGAAGCAAAGCTGGATAGGTTGATTTATCCCTTTCTTACGAAGACCTTTGTGCGACATGTGGCTGGGCGTCAACATGGAGAACAGTTCTTTTCCTTCTTCTGGTTAGAGGCCTTGCTCTTTACGGAGCATTATATCGATGTTATGGACAGACATTCATGCTCTACCAAAATCACCTGGGATTCAGAAAGCTGCGATGCATCATTACCCGGAAGGCCACGAAACCATCAGCATGGTCCTCACCTTGTAGAAATTCTACTTTGGAAAAAGTTTTTGATGTTCGTAGTTGTTTAGATTTTTGGAAAATTGCTCTATTCTATAGCGAAGGGTCCTATTTCCGTCGAGGATGACGAAAAGTTTTTGGAGACGCGCATTACTAGTTTCCGGGCTTGCACCTCAGTGAATTTTTGAGAAATTGTCAAGGAAAATTAGGTCAAAATCTTTGGACGATACTAGAAAATTCTTTATGAGTGAATGGAAAGAAAAACCCAAAATAACCCGAAGATTGTTTTTCAATTACGGAGTTGGTAAGCTCGCGCGCGATGTAGACTGCAGCCCAATATGGGTGCATAGTGCTACAAGGTTAACGATCTTTTTGTGGTTTTGGTTGGTTTAGTTTTCCACTTGAGCAAACAAATCGTGACTTTCGTGACGAGGAGGATAAAGCAGACTAGAAAGTAAATAAGTATTTGGAAAATTTCCACGGTTTCCTACTCAGCTGAAATATGGACCGATGCAAATTTGATCGGATACGGTATCATTCACAGCAAATGTTGAACGTGGACGCGTGCCTCCAGTTGAGGGAGGATTCCACGATAAGGTCAGAGGTCAAAAGTGGACACTACCCAGTGGAAAGACAGGCGGATTTCCAAGGGTGCGGACCGACACGCAATTCGCAGCGAAGGATATGCCCCGGCGATCTAGCATGGCCATCCCGCGCCGCTATCGACGCGGTACGCCCATGGATTGGATGGCCGCTCACCACAGTTTTTTATCCGTTTAGAAGAAAAGCGTTAGCGTTGAAGAGGGCAGCACCGATAAGAGTGCGGAAATCATCGGGCAAAGAAGGGGTCCCATTTCTAAAGCTCTGGACTGTTTCTCAGGATTTTTCCTCATCTCGGCACTGCTGACCACCTCTACACAATTATAATGGGCTGCCTTCTAACATTGAATGCTGCCTCCAAACTTTCCTTCATATTCTCTATCGCGAAATCCAGGACACAGACGAGTAGAGGACAGCAGGACAGCTCCGATGTCGGCTTTGAACATAGTTAACAGGAGAATCCGTGAACCCGGGAAGGAGGGAGGGGAGGACACAGGGGACCAGGGAGTGGGGGATTGAGTTACTTGACGTTAGGGAAAAGCTGAAGCGTGTGAGGTCAAGATTGTCAGGGGACTCTATTTTAGCGAAGGCGCTAACGAGGGCAGCACGTGGGCGTTTTTTGAGGACCGAGTTCAAGTAGCGCGTAGATAGTTGATAATGTTTGCTAATTTCTTTTATAGATTCCTCAATTCGTGCCGGCCATTCCGCATTGTCTTTCACGGCTATGGATTCGAGGAGAGCCGAACATCAACGCTCTTCGATTGCTCGTCAATCTTAGTTGCTGCCCGGATATGGTCCCATATTTGCTTGGCGCGAAGGTCGGTGTTGAAGCCTTGTTTCCGATAATTCAGTATTTACCTCAAATATGCTAATTTCAGTCAGTAAGTGGTCTGCTGCGATTGCTGGACACCGATCGGGAAGAGGTGTTGCTTCGGGCGATCACATGGCTGTTGTGTACGTCGTCAGCGGTGGACGCTCTTCATCTCACATACGATAAAATCGCTTGTCATAATCAGGTAAATTGAAAGTGATTCCACTGATGGAGTCTGACGACTCTTCTCAAGTCGTCGACTCGACGACTTGAGAAGGGGACATCTTCAGGAATTTTTTGGGTTGCTCCATGAATCTTCCACCTAATTACTTCTTCTGTGTGATTGATATCTGACAAAGTGCATACAATGATTGAGAGAATCCCTTCTGTTCCACTTTCCTGCGCTTGCATTCAATACTCTCCCGAGAATCTCAACTGCAATGGTTTTCCTGAAATGAAATTATAGAAATTGCAAAGTGTGCGATCAGTTGGCAAAAATCAGCGCTTAAAGGCAGCGATTACGATAGATCCTGGAAGGGTTTAAAGTGGACGTGGGAGTGCTCAATGGTATACCAACGGCGAAAAAAGCAGGAAATCCGTCAAGAATGAAGCAAAGTAGTACCCCTTAACTGCCCGTTCATTTTCGACCATGAATGAGCGGCGACAAAGAAAGAAGTTGTTCGGACGTGTTAACCCCGATAGCCGCCATCATGCCAACAAGCATAGTGTTTTGATTGATAAGGCATTACACGTGGGCAAGTTGGAAGATACAGCCGCTAGAAGGAAATGATCATCCAAAATGAAAAGCCAACAGCAAACAGCTCGCCCAAGTCACCAACTGAACTAGTGGGCGTAACGCTTTCGGGGCGGAGTGCTTCGGAAGTCCTGCTCAGCAACCAGGGCACCTCGTTCGTGAAAGCGCCACATCGCTTTTTTGGCAGCCAAGTTACTGCTTCGTATGGTGCATATGCTCTCGCGAGCGGCCTCGTCCATATATATCGCCTTTAAGACAGCGCAATTTTCGGCCACTTCACGGTGCTTCGAAAATATCTGCCGGCACGTTGGGACCCCGTCGTTCAAGCTGCTATGATATGCTCGGGTGCTGTAACAGTCTACTTGGCTTAGTGGCTCGTTTTACTCACCTCCTTCCTCTCGTCGTCTTCATTGACGTCTGTTCTCTTTCTTCTCAACCTTCAGTGTCTCCTCCTTCGTAAACCTACCCGGCACCCACAAAGACAGCACCTCTTTTTATATCTTTGAGCATTTCCTTGTTTATCCAGTTGCAGTCCCTAGGCCCCTAGGTCTATTTTCAGGCAAGAACGCGATTTGGTGGTTTAACATTTACCTGAGGAAAAAAATGGTAGTATTAGTGGTAGAAGGAAATTCAGGTGATTTGCGGTCGATATCTTGCAATATTTACTCATGCTCGTATTGCTATGCTCTTCTTTTATACTGGTACCATAATCTTGATCCATTCAGGACCCTTTCCGTAATCCAGCTCACACACTTTATCACTCCATTTACGGTCCGAAAGGTCGGGAAGAGTTGGAAGAACGAGCTCGTGAACTGACGCATCACCCTAATGCCGATGTTTGCAACAAAGCCTCGAGATTACTGGAGATTCTGAAATGCGTAAGACGACTTTTTCGAGTTTTCCAAAATATATTTCTCATTACAGTAATCCCTGGGAATGACAAACCACTATTTCAGATTCCACCGTTCGCAACACTCGGCTCACAATTGAACCGGTTATGACACTAAAGCTGACATCAGTTCACAAATTGCCAATCAATCAATATGTACCTATTTCATTACTGAATAGAAGAGTGCATACGATTGTTCTTGACAGCGCGTTTCACTTGCTCCGTCTCTCATTCGATTTCGACTAGTCAGTCTTCCATGTCGCCTTTTTTTATCAGATTAATTTTGTTTATCGATCGAAAAATTGCGTCGATCATTGATTGATATTGATCGATTTCGCTCTGCTAGCACTTATTTACTAATGGTTCTCCATGAAACGCGTTTTAATTTTTACTGGTGTGTAAATGGGCAATAACTCTAGTCAATCTCTGCGCTCGGACATTCAGATCTCTTACATGGCTGGTTTCGCCTTTCCATTGGCCATGGGAAATCCTGCAACCAATCAGAGAAAGGACCGCTTCACCAATGCTGGAAAGATCTGGCCCGCCTCCGTGTCTACTTTGTTCCACGTTCTACTTTGTACATGCTTTTACCGCTTACATTCCTGTAATAAAGATTCTGGGTAAATTTTCTAATTGGTCAAATAATGCTAAGCGCGAAGGATCGGCCATGATCAATCAGTTCGTTATGCACCTTGCATTCGACTGCTTAGTCCCAAGTTCTGTAAGTGGTTCACTCACTTCAATGACCCCAGGAGCAATAGGTTTTGAAATTGGATTAGAAAATATTGAATATCGGCACAAAATTTTCATTTTTCGCACCATTTTACGTAGAATTTTCTTGCTCATCATCTGCAGTACAAACTATACTTGTTCGCCACAATATGGATAGCTGATAAGGGCTGATAGAAGCGATCACCATAAGGACAGAGAGGTCACAAAAAACCGGAACAGACAAAAAGGCACACTTCATCTAAGGAGGAATTCACGATAAGAATGAAGGTCGAAGAAGGGGAAATTGCCTAGTTGGGAGACAGGCGGACCTCCTGAGGGTGCGGACTGACGCGCAATTGGCAGCGAAAGATTTGACCTCGGCGATCTAGCATGGCTCACTCTTGGCGCGGTTGGCGGGGTACGCCCACCGACTATCTAATCACTCGCCGCAGGTCTATACGTGGCGATTAGATAGCAGAGAGCGTAGTAGTTGAAGAGGGCACAGCGATGAGAGTCGCATCAATGCGCAAATCAACGGGCAAGAGGGGGTCCCATTTCTCGGGTTCTTTTCGTCGGGACCACTCATCAAATCCTTGAGTTGATTTGAAAGGGGTTGCTTTTCCATCGTGAATTCTGCCTTCAATTTGTCCTGCCATTTTCAGCACTAACTCATTCGACCGCAATTCTGCCCAGTTCTGGAAATGTATGGTGGATCTTTGAGGAAGCACGATAATGGAATTGGATATTTCAAATAAAATGAACCAAATGGTCCCACGGCAACCGTCGGAGATCTGCCCTTCCTGCGTAAGCTGCCGTCACTCCTCCTCTCCTTGTACCCCTATTCTCCATTGCTCTCCAGCTGCTACCGCGGCGCCTTCTGGAACGACCGAAAGTGTGCTACGTAGGTGTTGATATAGTCATTTGGCTGCTATCACAATCAGTTGAAGGCAAAGGTCGGGCTCAGGCACGCTAGAGAAGTAATTCCCGTGCCTGGAGGTTGTATGTGGGTAGCTGCACACATTGCAGCAACTTCCCACCTTGAAAACCCCGTTAAGGCCCCGGGGCGTTCGGTTTCAATCCAGGGCCGCCTGGTCAATCCAGGACCGCCCACCTCCGGAAGTGGTGCGTGGCTGGCATAACGTGTGAAATCAGCTAGGTTGATTGCCGTATCAACCGATAGAACGACTGACATCTCCAGAAAACTTGTTTGTACGTGCCTCTTTCCCCAAGCCAGCCTCCTTCACTGCTAGTGGGAAAGAGGGTTTTGTTAACGGCCTTGTCGACGGTTTTTCTCAGTTTTTTCTCCACTGTCGTTCCACTTCGCATCTCTATACTCAGTTTCAATCGCCATAATACCCCCTTATTGAGCCCGACTTTTGCCTTTAATTGCATAGCGTTGATAGGGCCGAGCTACCCAGATTTGCTAGCGGCCTGTTTATTCCATTAGCTGCCTTACCCACTCATTCATTTTGCGGACGGACAGCAGACAAACAACGACAACAACTACTAAACGTAGACACCAAGTTAGACGGTTTATTAATTAGAAGCATAGCTTCAAATAACTATCAACCGCTAAAATATCCTGACATTCGGTAATTGTTTACAAACACCAGTTCATTTCTGCATTTCACCGTGCGTATCAGACGGTAAGCTTCAGCGAAAGTGGTCAGCTATGGAGGGGACAGCTAAGGCATTTACAACGCAGCTTACTGCTGGATTCCTTATCGGTGGGACCTAACGCTCTACAAGCTCTCCATTTTCATTGAAGTTTAACCCTTTCGGACCTGAATTTTTCCCCGTGGAGAAATTTTTCTTCTAGCTATTGTTTATTACTTGTGAGCATATAGGTATCATTATGGCGAAATTTGGAAGCTATTCGATCACAAACAAAGAAACTAAGAAGCTTTGAAAATTGGCCCACCTTCTTAGTTTTTAAGCTTATGTCGAAACAATTCGAAATTTCATAGTTATGCCGAAAAAGTTTATAATCTTGCATAACATTATAACCCATAATTTTGATTTAGGAATGGATCTACTTCAAGTATTTTAAGAAAAAGTCACACTTACTTGGCCGGTTGCGGGGGTCAGCGCCCATTCATTGTTGCACTTGTACACAAATACTTGTAATACTAACAGCAACACACAATGAAATGGCAGGTTTAGCTCATAATTAGGAAGGGGAAGGTTGACTGAAGCAACCTCTAGCAGGATTAGAAAAACCATGCTGTTTCAGCGGCAATGCAAGCGTTTGAATTTGGTGGTGGCAATTGCCACCGCCAGGGACCGAAAGGGTTAGCGTGTCATGCAGGCGGTAGCGTGTGGAGCTGTGGTAAAACATAAGCGAATAAAATTCGTTGGATTGAGCAGCAGTGCTTATGCAACTTATAATGGACTGTGAGCAGTTGTTATCTGACCACTCTCTACATGGCTGTGTTTAGAAACTCCAGCGTTCTGGTCACCTTTCTCGAGCCAACCCGGTATTGCAGTCGTTTCGCTTCTTCATGCTTTTCCTGAGATCCAAGATGTCAGAACTTGTGGGGCGGCCACAACAAAGACTACTTTTATTGGTCTTCTCTTTAGTGCACGGTAGGCCGCGGAGCGGTTGAAAATCCAAAGAAGCGCGATGCTCATCACGGATGTCCGACTAGCTGTGTGAGAGGTTAGGCACTCAGTTTAAAGGCAAGATTCAAGCTTAAACTGATGAGGTAATTCTACTCAAATGTGATGTAGGGGTGGGAGGTGGACCGCCAGTGGAGAAAAAAGGAAAAAAATCGTGAAATACACAGGAAATACGAGCCTTTTGCTCTACGCTGCGGAGAAGTTCAAAAGGCCGGCAGGGAGATGAGAGATAATGTGAGCGCGGAGAGCGGTAGAGAAGTCCGAGAAGAGAGAGCATAGCAGATCAACATTGCGACGCAGACAAGATATCGAGCGGTGGGCGGAGCGTGTCGCAACAGGTGGAGCGTGTCAAAGTCCTTGGCCCCTAGCGCCTTAGTGACGCATTTCGATGCGGGAACTTGGCGAGTCGCCTGCAGTTGCGTCCCATGCGCTTCTAGCCACTTTAAGGGCTTATTAGGTGGGTCTGAGCCCGAACTTTGCCTTTAAGGGCACCATGAGATGCAGGCCGAACGGTAAGCCGTGGAATTTGGCATGGTCATTGACAAGAGGATAGAGGATTGAAAGGTCTGCCAATCTCGGAAGAAAAGCTATAAACACCTACAGAATTTGAGCTCAAAATTCGGTGCAATATTTATGGAGCACCCTGCACATACGTCAGCACATTCTACCCATCTCCATACATTTCAACATATTTCTTCCGCTATCATGACCCACATCCTAAATAATCAAGACTTTGCCCACTCAAAAACATTGATACGACCCCTTTTTCACGTATCTGCCCTACAGGCAGATGGCGCCGCCGACCACGGTGCTAAGAGAGTTGATGGGGGGGGGGGAGGCGAGCCGCACCGCTGTTTTTCAGGCGCGATGGGACTAAGCCTTAGCCTAGGGAAGGAGTGGGTAAGCTGTGATCAATATGATTTGCGGGCGTTCTTCTGGACTCTGGTTCAGTGCTATTGCGATTGACAGAGGCCGCGTTGCCGCGTAGTCCACCCCACCCCCGACTCACTTAGCACCCCTATCACACCTTTCACCACGCTAGTGGTATTCACAGCCATGGCATAAGATGTAGGTCTGCCTGACTCATTGAGCCCAGAGCTACTTTTACAACTGACTGATTCAAGAGATGCGATTGAGTCTGCTTTTTTTTTACAGAGAACGTAGGTGGATGACAGACTTAGCGAATAGGCGACAGCCGCAATTTTGGCGCGCAATGCCACGCCACGACAGGTCACGAGCAAAGGAGGGTTGTTCCCCACGTGCAGGCCATTGGCGGGTCAAATAAAGGAAGCCTCACTGAGTCTGACATCCACCTTAGACATCGCTGTTTTACTTATCAGAGCTTAGAAATTCCACTTGGTTTTCTTTCTGCTTCATATGAAACAAAGCGTTCAAGTAATTCTGGCAGTAAAACAGGGTCTGTCCTATCGTTGTTACTTTTCGAAAAATTTTTACGACCCCCCTCCCCCAACGTGGATTTGATACGACCCCCTTTTCCCTACCTCCACCATCTCCATCTTCCATCAAAACCCCGCCCACTTTTTCCTCCAAAAATGCCGTCGAGCGGGGGGGGGGGGGTTTCGAGCGACTGAAAGTGGGTACCCCTCCTACAAACTCAACCAGGTACGACCCCCTCGTTGTTACTCGTAACAACGTAGGGTTGACCCTGCAGTAAAATGCAACCTTGCGATGAAAGTGTGTGGTTCATTGCACTCTTGATGCTTCACACAATCTCTTGGCACTGCTAAGGGCAGCACGGAAACATTTGGCCCAACAAACCACATGGGATGGGCGACAGATGTCCAAGACAACGTTTTACCACCGTGAGCAACAAGAAAGAGCGAAACCTGTGTAGGTATGAAAAAAGGAAAAAGAGAAGTGATTCTCTTTAACTAGTCCTCATACGAACCACTCATACGAACCACTGCAATTAATCATTCCGGGAAGCGCCTCGCCATCAGGGTCAACCGTCCGTTCGAACAGTTCGACGGGGGGTCGCATTGTGTGTCTGGGAAGGGAGGGGGGTCGCATTGGTCGCATTGCGCGCCTTGGTGACGCAGGGCATAGCCCCGTGCTTGAGAAAAAGTCGTCGCTTCAGTGGCTTGTATATACCCCCCTCCCCCGCTCTACTTTTTGGGGAAAAAAGTGGGTGGAGTTTCGGAGTTTTAGGTAGGTTTTGGGCTGTGTCAACTGGTCTCAGAATCAAATACTATAGAAGAGGGAGAGGTCGCGGTGGAGGAAGGCTGGTTGTATTGGGGGGGGGGGTCGCAACTGTGTGTTGGGAGGGGTCGCAACTGGACCCTCTCGAGAGGGAGGGGGTCGCAAAAATCCCGAAAATGTTCGAACGTGACGGTTGACCCTGCTCGCCATCCAACGTCCACTCAGCGCCGCAGTCATTCAAATGCCCAGCATTTACCAGCGAGGGCTAGTCGATATACAATGATAAGAAAGTCCACACAAATTATGTGACCAAGAGGCGAGCGCTGAGTTGACCTAGACGGATTACGATCTAGGATTTGATTTCATGAACGTGCGCGTTTTGACGGCTATGCCGTTTGCCACTGTACCACTTCCGTCCGTCAATGGGCATTATACAGACCAAATAATTACGCGGCTGTTAGTTTCTAAACAGGGCTCAAATGCATCTGACTAGGAGCGATCATTAATTCTTAATTCCTTAAGGAACTTGTGTCCCGTATCAAAGATGCTTTATATCAACAATTTGAGAAGATGTTTTACACAGGCTTGCAAGAAATCCGAATTTCGAAGATGCGAGACGCTCAAAGATGCATGAAATTCCTGTTTCTTTTGTGATTGTCAAGAACGCAGTTAGCGGTAGAGAAAAAGATTTACTATTTAAGGCATACGCATACAAAAAGGCTTTATGCACTTAGACTTATTCTTTATCTCATCAGCCTTCTTGTAAACACAAAGTTCTTTCTTCTTACATGCTAGTGCTTGACATTGTGCAGCACAAAACGGCGCGGCGTCTGAAGAAAAAAATCTACTGTTAGGAGCTCTCCAATACGCAACCAATGACGAAAGGGTGCGAACAAATCTGTCTGCTAACCAGGAAGGTCTTTCAGGGCGTGACCAAGCTTTTTGAAAACGGTCTTTTGCATGATATAGGGGCACATGCGGGAACCACAGAACCATGTTCAATTTTTCCTGAACGGCCCTCTGAATACCAGAAAAGGGGGTCCCTAGTTCGATTCCTCGTGGTGACAAATTTTTGCATTTCGAGTTGACGTTTCAAAATTCGCGCAAAATGGAGTTAGCATGAATAATTAGTACCATATTCATGATTAGGACCGTCAGTAACCCTTACAAATAGACTTTGATTAAAAAACTGGTGAAAAAGGTGTGACACCACAGTGGGGCTGCTTGGTGTCACACCTCTTACACCAATTTTTAAGTCAAAGTCTTTTTGTAAGGGTTACTGACGGTCCTAATCATGAATATGGTACTAATTATTCATGCTAACTCCATTTTGCGCGAATTTTGGAACGTCAACTCGAAATGCAAAAATTTGTCACCACGAGGAATCGAACTAGGGACCCCTTTTCTGGTATTCAGAGGGCCGTTCAGGAAAAATTAATGTGGTTCCCGCATCTGCCCCTATATCATGCAAAAGACCGTTTTCAAAAAGCTCGTCACGCCCTGAAAGACCTTCCTGGTAAGACCCTCAGCCCATCTCGGTAACTGGCGCCCTTTGCATTGCTCAGTAATAGTTTCCTTCCATCACCGTTTCAATACCATGGTTGAACAATGAGGAGGGGACCAGTAAGTGGGCTGGTAAGATCAGTGTTCATTTTGCCCCTCGTTTCGAAAATTTTCACTTGCTTTCTCAGACTCTCAACCAAATTATAGATCCAATGTAGAACCGAAACCAACGTCCATACGATCTCGTAGCCGCCCTTTCGTGTCTGTTCAGTACGTTGGGAACAACAGTTTGAACAATTGCCATAGCCACCTGTAATAATATCGATAGAAAAAACATGAGAATTGCTTTCAAATCGATTTTATGCATGTCAGTGGAACTCCTTCACTTACCAGAAGAATAACCAACGATCGGGACATCTCCTTCAATCCTGAGGCATAAAAGAATAAGATAACGAAAGCGAATTCTGCAAAAGCATTGGTCTAAGAATTTGAACATCGAAGGCTCACTCGTTTTTCTTTAACCAGTTTTGCTCCGCCCGCTATCGCGCGCATAACACGGTAGGCTTCAGCGAAACTGGAGGACTTAAGGAACATCTGGTGATCTACTCCACAAAGCAGCTCACTATTGGATATGTCAGTGGAGTGACCTGAGGTTGGAGGATCTCCACTTTCATTGAAGTCCATCATACATGCGCGTGAATGCGAAGCTGAGTCGGTATATTTATCACAACTCGTAAACACCTAGCATTTTTCTTGAATCCTGACAATTTAGCGGTGATTAGGGTTTTGCTGTTAGCCTTAGAATGAAAATGAAATATGCTCCTTATAAAAAGTGAGATCTGATGCTTATCTTTGCTTTACATTCACACTTTCGCAAATCCTAAAGTTGAGCGGTTTAATGAGTTTGGCTTCGCTCGCTACCGCGCGTCAAAGTACATAGGCGGTAACAAAAATGAGCACAGCCGGGCCCTTGTGTTGAACAGCACTCATGCTTTTGATGAATCTGAGTGATGTTATCAACGAAGGTGACTATACTGCTGGTGATAAAGCAATTATTTACCGTAGTTCGTCAATCCCACAAACATCCATCATTTTTCGGAAACTGAACATGGTCTAGCGGCCTAAGCTAATACCTTTGTTGAAGTTGCACGATAGTTGTTTACGCTATCAGGACTTTGCATGAACAACTATCATGCTTTGGATGTTGAGATATTCTAGCGGTTGCAATTCTTACGTCTATTCTTACGTCTATGGCATTGAAAGAGAAGCACCAACACTCCATTATGCACAAACACCGACCATCCCAGAAAGCTCGGAAAGATTAGCGGTCTAAGCAATCTCGATGGTAACGACGAAATCGCAAACTAAATGGTATTTTTTGTCGCCATCTAGATAACAACTTTAGCGGCTCTTCATTTTTAACCTGATCAATCTTATCAGCCCTTATCAGGTGTTATCACTTTCTTGTCCCCCACCAAATATGTTCCCGTCCCACCCCCTATATCATATCTTGAAACCAACTCCTGACGACCACTGGTGCCCGAGCTATGAATTTCGCGACACTTGCGTTCTAGCGCCTTTTATCAGCCCTTATCAGTGTTGATCACTTTCTGTTACCCCACCAAATATGTTCCCGTCCCACCCCCTATATCATATCTTAAAACCAACTCCTGACGGTGTACGATCTATCCTACGATCTCTTGCGCCCGCGCTATGATTTTCGTGACAGACACACACACGCACAGACGTACTTGGTGAATTATATACATATAGTATTATGATTGCTTCACTTAGCCGGTTTAACACCAAAATCCATTCACGAGTGGTTCCCTCGAATTATGCCAGAAAACGGCCCAGGCTGTTTTAGTGGATTTAGCCGGACCTTTTTTGCTTTCGTTTCGTGTTTTACTTTGCCAGAGCCTGAACCAAATTTATTTCACGGTTACAAGGCTTGGCGCTATGCACGTCAGAGGGAGGAGAGGGGGTGCAGTCTGATAAGCCACTATCCGTAAGAGGACTCTGAATCCTACCGCATCCCCGTTTGCGGTGGACCACACAACGCAAAATTAGGACATTCGCCGGTTCATGAGTGATGTTCATCTCTCCCCACCCTTGCTTGAAGTTGTAGGGGGAGGGTTTGTATCCGTGGGTGACCCATCCACGTGTGGTGGTCAAGGGGTTTTTCGAGGCGTTTGTGGGAGGTGAATTCGTGAAAAAATTCAAGTTTCCCCATTACTGCAGTTGACGCGGTGGATATTCTATCTCCCTCACCCTTAACACCTCATTGGGAATGACGCTGTTATTAGGGACGTCGCAAAATCAACAATAGTGCATAAAAATAACAAGTCGAGCTGGCTACAGCCCACGATCTGGCAATCTGCAGCACGTTCTTCGCGAAAAGGGAAACTCAAAAGGTAACCTACAGCAGTGGAGGGAGACAGACGGAAATCGACCATGTGCTGGTAAGAAGATCATCCCTCAAAACTGTGAAGGATATCAAGGTACTTCCTGGCGAAGAACTGGCTCCCAGCACAGGCCCCTCCTGGCAGACATAGCCATAGACCTCCCCAAGAAGACAAGGGTAAGAACCGAGAGGAGAATCCGGTGGTGGAAGTTGCACCAAGCAGAGAAGAGCGACCTCAAACGAAGGATAATGGAAGTTGGTCTCCCAGATCCTGAGGGACCAGTGCAGCAGGACTTGGGGCAATGCAGCTGAGATCATCCTACGATGCGCCAAGGAGGTACTGGGCGAGACGCGAGGTGGATTCAGAGGAGACAAGGCAGCGTGGTTCTGGAACGAGGAGGTCCAGCGAGTCGTGAAGCAGAAGAAGGAAGCATACAAGCGCTGGCAGAAGACCCGGAGCCCCGAGGACCTCGCTGCCTACAAGAGTTGCAAGAGGCTCGCTAAGGCTGCCGTCGCCAAGGCGAAGAACACGGAAATGGACGCCTTGTACGAGAAGTTGGAAAGCAGAAACGCAGAGAAGTTCGTCTTCAGACTGGCCAAAGCCCGGCATCGGGCTACCCAAGACATTAGGGTGGTGAAGAGCGTGAAGAGCAGTAACGGTGCCATCCTGAGGAAGCCAACTGAAGTCAGGAGGAGGTGGGAGGAGTACTACAAAGCGCTCCTGAACGAGGAGTTCCCCACAAAGACAGCTCGCAAGCAGAGGCGACGGCTGGCCCTATCTCACTATGGACAGAGGATGAGGTTCGTCAAGAACTAGGGAAGATGAAGGTTGGAAAGGCGGTGGGTCCAGAGAGAGGTATAGATGAGAGAGCAATATTCATTGTCCAATTTCGTCTTCGTATGCGCCATGTATCCACCACCGCTCAAAGTTGCAAAATCCATTGAAGGGTAATGATGACCTGGGTCCGCCTGCCTCCCAGCTGTGCAATTACCCCTTCTTTGACCTTCCTTCCTATCGCGAACTCCTCTTTCAGAGGGAGGGATTACGATAAAGTCTGTGTGATGCATGGAAGAACATGCACCAATGGCAGTAGCCAGGGACGAAAGATTCGAGATGTGACCTCTTCGTGGCTAAAGTAGCGAATAGCTGCAGCGCCTGGGCTGCCAATCCCTCCTAAGGTCTCGCCTCCGCCTGTGCTCCGCCCTCATCAGCATCACTGTTAGATTATCAATGCAGAGGAAGCGATTACGATAAGGAAGGGCCGCATCGGGAGAGTATATGTGTCAATAAAGCAGTCAGTTGGTCTGCTAGGTAAGCGAATTGTGGCACTTTAAGACGAAAGGGTGCTGTGGTTGCTAAGCAGGACCTCCGCAGCACTCCGCCCCAGCAGCGTTATTGGAGGGTTCATAGTTGGCGATTAGGCGATTAGGCGATTAGGCGATTAGTCTAAATGAAAAATATACGTATAGATTCGGCGAGTAGGCGATCAGGCGAGTAGGCGATTAGGCGGTGAAGACTACATACGTATCGACTTGTATGTTCCGCCCTGAGGGCGTTGTAGGCGAGTAGGCGAGTAGGCGAGTAGGCGAGTAGGCGAGTAGGCGATTAGGCGATTAGGCGATTTGCACACGGCGCACTCCTTAGTCGTCAAAATTGAGGCGCACATGCCGTACAAACTTCTACATGCAAATCGGGGTGTAGCTTCTCACTCATACACTAGACTACTAGTTGGTAAAAGCAGATCTTGTCAAAGTGTTGCATACAATCCAGATATCACCTAATCGCCTACTCGCCTACTCGCCTACTCGCCTACTCGCCTAATCGCCTAATCGATCCATACTTTTCATTTTGAATCATCGCCTACTCGCCTAATCGCCTAATCGCACGAACGATCGCCAACTATGAACCCTCCATTACGCCCACTAGTTTTGTTGATGATCTGGATGGACTGTTTGCTGTTGGCTTTTCATTTTGGATGATCATTTCCCTTCTAGCGGCTGTATCTTCCAACTTGCCCACGTATTGCCTTATCAATCAAAACACTATGCTTGTTGGCATGATGGCGGCTATCGGGGTTAACACGTCCGAAAACTTCTTTGTCGCCGCTCATCCATGGTCGAAAATGAACGGGAATTCAAGAGTACTACTTTGCTTATTTTTGACGGATTTCTATGCTTTTTTCGCCATTGGCGTACTATTGAGCACCCCCACGTCTACTCTATACCCTTCCAGACTATCGTAATCGCTGCCTTTAGGTATTACGCTTCGAACGCTTTTCCTAAAACATTCCCATGGAATGCCTTAGCAATTAAAGGAATCCATTGCGGAAAAATCATGCTTCTATTCGGGTCATAAATCACTGACTTGAGACCTCATTATGCGACCGTTCTGGTGCAAAAATTCAAAAAATCGAAAGGGCTGCTACGCGTTCAAAGTGCCCACGGACGTCTTTCACAAATGCTGGCGACGGGGATGCTTCCACTTGGTTCTTGGAGTGCCTTCACTAGAAACTCTTTCTGGCTTTCTGCTTTATTGCATTCACATCTTACACTTCTACTGCATCATACTCTATCGATTGTTTGCCTCTATTCTCCAAAATCGATCACTTTACCCGGATTCCGTCATTGCGTCGCCTGATACGTAGCCGGCTAAAGGCCAACTTCTTTCCATGTCTCGTTTGGCTCCGCCCGAATTACCTTCGATGTCCATAACGTGTAGTTTTTGGACGTTTGTTTCTCTTCGGAAACCGAATCTTCATGCGTGAAACTTTGTGTGCTGTTTCCAGTGATCACAACTGACACATCCATGTCAAGAAAGAATGCAAGAATTTTCCGCGAAGGATTCCTTTAACATGGTCCTAAGCGGGCTGATGGTTGCATGTCGTTAGCGCATTCAATCGACCCTTATGGTTACGTTGCTCGCTATTATCGGGCGTAACCTTTGCTTTTTCGCCACCGGGAACTGCTCAGCGTCTCCACCTCCACTGTGAACCTAACCCAAGGTCGTAAACCC